AGCTGTGGGACTGGCGGGTGAGAGAGATTTGTTCTGACTGTGGGCCAGGCAGGAAAACTCTAGCTACAGGGAATTGAACTTAGAACCTCCAGAAGAGCAGTCAGTAGTTAAGCCATCTCTCCAGTCCCCATTCTTTCATCCTTTTAAAAAAATTTTTTATTTTACTTATTTTTGGGAAGTACTGGGGATAGAACATAGGGCCTCATACATGCTACATAAGTGCTCTACAACTAAGCTACAGCCACTTTTGTTTATTTGGGACAGTCTTGCTGTCTATCCTTGGCTGTCCTAGACTCATTGTGTATCCCAGGACTGGCATCATACAGCAGTCCTCCTGCTTCAGCCTCTTGCATGCTGGGATTACAAGTGTGAGCCACCACACCCTCTGTAAAAGCTCATAAAAGCTAATTTTACAACTCCTGTGATATCCTCACTTAGAAGACAATCAGTTGTTTCATAATGTTATAATTGTTGTAGCTTCTGAGAGTTTTTTATTGGGAGCATGTGTCTTAAATTCTAGAAATGCCTATACCACATGCTAAGCTCACTTACTTTGAGGGGGAAAACATACCTCAAAACTGAATTTGTTCTTCAGCTGTAGGAACAGTTTTAGCCAGTAGCATACCACTATTTTCTATGATAGTGTGATTTTCATCATTGTCATCATTCTTTTTTGTTTATTTGACATAGGGCTTTGTATAGGTCAGGCTACACTCAAATTCATGTAGTGGTGGCTGGCCTTCAAATTGGGATATAATCCAGGTAGGCCTTAAACCAGTGGGCTCACTGCTTCAGTCTCCCAAGTAGTTAGGCTTATAGGAATGAGGTATCATGCTCCACATGTAACATTAACTTCTAAAACATAAAGAGTGTAGTGCCTGTGCTACTACCCATTCGAGGGGCTGAGGATTAAAACAGACAAGACAGTGGGTCATTCATCTCAGTAAAATGCCCTTTATTGAAGGAGGGAAGAGACCTTAAATACAGGCTTACAGCACAGTGGGAGAACCCCGGAAGGCAGAAGTTCACTACAGATATTTTACATTCTTGCACCCTAGCTGTTTACACCAATATGCAGGATACACAAAAAAGGAACCTCTGGTAAGCCATTTAGGAGGAAGGAAACAGGAGGGAATTAGCATAGGGAGGACATCTGATCAAGGTCAGCAAGCAAGGCAACAGCTACCCAAGGAATGGGGGTGAGGGCCCAACAAAAGAGCTAACATTCTTCTGTTGTGAACCAGAGCTCCTGAGGCAAACTGGGATATAAGAAGGTCTAGGTCTTTTTCCTAAGCTGTATGTTATATTCTCTTATGGTGGAAACATCCCAGATGTAGAATCCTGGGGAATCTTCAGTGCTGTGATTATAAATGAGATAAGTTTATGGAAGAGCATTCATGTCTATAATAGAAAATAGATGCCGAAAGTCTTAAAGCATACTAAGTGACTAGATACTGCCTTTCTGTGGTTGATAGAAGAGCGTGAATCAGTTAAAACACCCCCGCCCCGTGTGTGTGTGTGTGTGTGTGTGTGTGTGTGTGTGTGTGTATGTGTGTATGTGTGCTCGAGCACACGTGCACACACACCTATTCATATATGGATGCACGTGCATGCATCCTGTAGCACATGTGTGGAGGTCAGAAGGCAACCTTGGTCCTTTCCTTTCACCTTGTTTGAGATAGGGTCTCTGTTGTTTTTCCACTCTGCATGCCAGGCTGGCTGGTTCTTGAGTTCCCAGGGATTCTTCTGTCTCCACCTATGTCTCCCAATAGGAATCCTGGGATTGTAGATGCTCTTTTCTTATTTGTCCCACTTTTATATGGGTTCTAGGGATTCAAACTCAAGTTCTCACACTTGGCATGGCAAATAATTTTACCTGATGAGCCATCTCCCTAGTCAAGTTAAAGCATTTTTATTGTCTAAAGAACATGATTACATCAAGTCACTGTTTGCTGCTTCTCCATTCCTCTATAAAAATCCTAAACAGTAGGTTAGCTGTTGAAACACCTTTAGGGTAGTTGTTGTTATATAGATTATAAGTCTTCCTGGATGTTTGCATGACCTACTAAAATGTTATCAGATCTCTTGTGAACATTTTACAGTAATCCACAAATTCCTTAAAATTTCCAGGTTTTGCTTTTTTTATTTTATGAAATTTGATGCTGACCTGTAGGGCCCTGGTCTCCTCCCATGTTGAGTAAAGCCGTTGCCTGCTAGCCGACCTTGACCAGATGTCCTCCCTATGCTAATTCCCTGCTGGTATCCACCCTCCTGAATGCTTTAGGGAAGTTCCTTGTTTGTGTATCCTGCATATTGGGCATTAACAGCTTAGATGCAAGATTGTAAACATCAATAGCGAACTTTGCCCTCCGGGGTTCTCCCATTGTGCTGTAAGCCTGTATTTAAGGTTTCCTCTCTCCTTCAATAAATGGCATTCGGCATTCTACTGAGGCGAATGAGGCGAATGACCTGCTGTCTTTTGTCTCTGTTTTTCGATCCACAGCCCCTCGCTCGGACATGGTGAACGGGTGATGGTAGCGCTGGCGTTACCGCAACAAATTGTTTTTGAACTCCACAACCATAGTTCATGCTCAGTACACCCTTAGGAGTGATAGGAGGCTTGTAAGCACCTGTAACCCGTGAGCCCGCAGATGCATGTGCCTAAAGATGCAATTGGTGTCTAGCCTGGAGTTTCACTGCTGTGTTAGCACAGCTATGCTGCCTTTCTTTGTGGGGGCTGAACAATCTACTTTTGCTCTCTGCCTCTTACAACTTGGTGGGCACCTGGCTCAACATGTAGGGGCAACTTGACAGGTTTTAGGTGATAATACTAGTATTTGTAAAGAGAAAAAGCATAATTTATCCTGAATCAAATGATAATGCTAATGTTTTCTTTCTTTTCTTTTTCTTCAGATAAAGATCATTTGTAATCTTGCCAGTATAACATTTTTTTTTCTGAGACAGTCTCACTATGTAGCCCTGGATGTCCTGAAACTCACTATGTAGCCCTGGCTGTCCTGGAACTCAATATGTAGACCAGGCTGGCCTTGAACTCACAGATATCCTCCTGCCTTTGTCTTCCCTCCCAAATGCTAACACAGCAATAATCATGTCCTCATAAACTTCATCAGTTCCAATACTACCACCACAATACTGTTTTTGAACAAAGCAGCAATTTTTTGTTTTGTTTTGTTTTTGGTTTTTTTTGAGACAGGGTTTCTCTGTGTTGTTTTGGTGCCTGTTCTGGATCTCTCTCTGTAGACCAGGCTGGCTTTGAACTCACAGAGATCCGCCTGCCTCTGCCTCCCAAGTGCTGGGATTAAAAGTGTGCGCCACCACTGCCCAGCTCAACATATTTTCAATTCATTGAATATTACATTCTATGTCTTGATCATTAGTATGCTTTAATATGGTGGCAGTCTGGTTTATCTCCTATTTTATATCCTTTGTCCTGTTCAAATAGCCTTTACTCTACATCTCTTTTTTTGTTTTTGTTTGTTTGTTTTTCAAGACAGGGTTTCCCTGTGTAGCTTTGTGCCTTTCTTGGAACTCACTCTGTAGCCCAGGCTGGCCTCGAACTCGCAGAGATCTGCCTGGCTCTGCCTCCCGAGTGCTGGTATTAAAGGCGTGTGCCACCACCGCCCAGCATATTCTACATTTCTTAATAAAAATCTAAGAGGGGAAAAAAAACCTTTTGTGTTATCTACAAATAGTAAATTGGCTGTTTTTTTTATTTCTGTATATCTCAACCTACTTCCTTTTTGCTCTCCAGGTTAACAATCCTCTATTCTAAGCACCTGCTCATAGTTTTCTTCACAGAGCTGACTAGGATGTGTGTGTCTGTCTGTGTACACATGTGTATTTTACTTTTTCAGGGGGAGACAGGACCTTGTGTAACCAGGCTGACTTTGAACTCACCATGTAGGAGGCTGCACTTGAACTTCTGCCTCCACCTCCCAAGTGCTAGGATTACAGGCATGTGCCATTAATCCCAGAATTGCATGTGTGTTTTAAACAAACTATATCACCATTTTAAAATCTTTCAACTCCATCATAGAAGCGTATGCGCCATTCCTTGCTGTTTCATTGTTGACTTCCATGGTACAATTTTCCCCAATCCTTTTTTTCCCTCAAGATTTCTGACTGCCTTCCCCCTCTGACAAAGGTTTCTTTGACATTGTGCTCCCTGCTTTTCTCCATTTCTGCTTACCCAGTACAACGCCGGAATATACCAATACAGAGAGGCCTTCAGGTATCTCAGCATAGTCTATTGCTCCTCACATCTTCTTTGTTTTGTTTTGTTTTGTTTTTCACATCCAAAGACATTCTGTAACCTTTCTCCAATAGGCATATACCCCATTTTCTTCTATATTCATAATTTTCTGCTTTTTATAGAATTACATTTCTCTGCAGTTCCTTGCCAGCGTTCATTTCATGTGAATTCTTATTTTACTCTCTGTTACCTTTCTGTTACCTTCTTCCAACCGGGTTTCGTGTGTGTGTGTGTGTGTGTGTGTGTGTGTGTGTGTGTGTGTGTGTGTGTGTGTGTTGCAGTGAAACCTTATCTCATATATGTGTGTGTGTATATTGCACTCACGTATGTGAGAGAGAGAGACACACACACACACAAAGTGCATGATTAGAGGTCAAGTGCAACTTTGCAGAGTTGTTTCTATCCTTTACCTTTGTATCAGTTATCAGGATTTAACTCAGGCCACAAACTCTGTGGGATAAGCACTTTTACCTACCGAGCCATCTTTAGCCCACAGGTTTCTCTTGATTGTCACTTGTCTTTCACTTTTAGCTTATTGGATAACTCTATTTTGGCATCCTTCTACATCTTATAATGTACATGTAGTATTCATTCAAATACCTGCTTTTCAAACCTCTGTAACCTAAACCAACAGCATGGAATTAATCCCTGAGAAAGTGAAATCTCTTTTTATTTTTTTGAGGCAAGGTCTCAAACTCACCTTAAACTCATCGTCTTCCTGCCCTAGACTCCAGAATGCCAGGATTACAGGAATATGCCACTATATCCACTTTTGAAGTCTCCTCTTCAAAACTTCACAGAGAGATGCTCTCATAGAATGACAGAGCTTCACGTATCTGGAATGGGATGAATAATTGAGCCTCACAAAATTTCTGCCACTGTGAAATAAGACTAGATCTTTAATTTTATATGTTTTGATTGTCCCAAGAAAAGAAACATTACCTTAGGGAAGGTGAGTTTCATGATTGTGTTTATGTTGATCATTCTTCAGGATAATTACTGATTTGAAAATGCCTAGTCTTCTATTCTACACTGAAGTCTCTTTACTGATGGGAAGGACTCATAATCTCCAAGGCAACCCAACTCATTTTGTACTGCACTTGCTTGTTTTAAAGTTGATTCATGCCGGGCGGTGGTGGCGCACGCCTTTAATCCCAGCACTCGGGAGGCAGAGGCAGGCAGATCTCTGTGAGTTCAAGGCCAGCCTGGGCTACCATGTGAGTTCCAAGAAAGGCGCGAAGCTACACAGAGAAACCCTGTCTCGAAACCCCCCCCCCCCCAAAAAAAAAGTTGATTCATATATGGGGTTAAAATGTGTTATTGGTTATGAGCCAGCCAGAGGGCTCATCAGGTAAAAGCACTTGCTATCAAACCTGATGACCTGATTTTTATCTTTGGAGCCACGTGGTGGACAGAAGGAGACAACTGGGTCCCGAGAGTTTTCCCCTGACCTCCACACATGTGCTGTGGCACATACCCTGTGGTGTGTGTGTATGTGGTGTGTGCATGTATGCATGTGTGTAGATTTTAAAATGCAAAAAATAAGTAAAATGTAGTAAGTATATGCATTGCCCTTAATTCCACTATAAGGTAAAGGTACATGGAATTTGGATTTCTTTTCCACATGTCAACCCTCCCTCCTTTTAGGATAAATAGTCTTGGCTCTTGCAACTATTCCTCATACGATATTATCTTGATTGCTCTTCTGAGGACATGAAAATTTGTCAATGTTCCTCCTAAAATGTGTTTGGAACTGGAGGTAATATTCATTGTGGAGTTGAATTGGATGTGAATGTTCCACATCTGGACACTAACACAGTCTGAAGGCTGAGTTTTTTAGCAGCCATGTAATGTTGGCTTGCAATAAATTTGCAATTAACTCAAATCCCAAGGTTTTAAACTGGAAGTTCGCCTTTATGTGACTTCATTCTAAATCATTTATTCATTTTCCTTAGTTATGCAATAATTTAAAAAAAGAATATAAAATTTTATGTATTTCTGTATTAATTTTTTCCCACTAGTTTATCAGTTAGCCTTTTGTTTCTTTGAATCTCTTATTTAATCATCTAGCTTATGCTGAGCCAACAAAGAACTTTGAATGTATTGTCAGAATGTTTTCAAACATCTGGAAAATGCTAGTCAAAAGTATCTAAAACTGTATTCCAAAAAATCGCTCAGAGATAGATAAAAGTTAGCCCTTAAGGGATATATGAATACTAGTGAAAATTGGCAAGGCCACACAAGTCTGAAGTTATTGTCATCTTTTTAATATTACTAAAAAGGAAATTGATGTTCTATGACATAGTGTGCTAACATAGTGCCTGCCCAAAGTTCTGCATAAGTCTTTCCAAGGTCCCAAAAAATTAATGTCTAGAAGTAAACAAGATATCGTGACCATTCTGAGGGATGTGTGCGTGTGTGTGTGTGTGTGTGTGTGTGTGTGTGTGTGTGTGTGTGTGCGCGTGCGCGTTTTCAGAAGGGTCTCTATGTAGCCCAGGCTGGTCTTTAATTTAGTGTCTCCTGCCTCAGCCCCCTGAATGTATTCTTTAAAATACATATATTTAAAATGATTTATTTTTTTTAAGATTTATTTATTTTTATTATGTATACAGTGTTCTGCATGTATGCCAAAAGAGGTGCCATATCTCGTTTCAGATGGTTGTGAGCCACCATGTGGTTGCTGGGAATTGAACTCAGAACCTCTGAGAGAATAGCCAGTGTTCTTAAACTCTGAGCCATCTCTCCAGCCCCAAAATAATTTATTTTTATTTCATGTGCATTGGTATTTTGCCTGTATGTATGTCTGTATGAAGGTGTTGGATCCCCTGGAAATGGAGTTACCAACAACTATGAGCTGCCGTGTGGGTGCTGGAAATGAACCCTGGTCCTCTAGAAGAGCAGCCAGTGCTCTTAACTGCTGAGCCATTTCTCCAGCCCTTAAAATATATTTTTAATTGACACAGTAATTATAAGTGTATGTGATATAGTGTCACATGTTTCACTACATGGGAAATATGCATTAACTCAGATCAGACTAAATATTCATTGTCTCTCATGTTATACATTTATTTTCTTTGCATTGAGAATATTCAGAACTTGCCTGTTAACTATTTTAAAATATCTGGTTAATTATTTTCAACCATAGTTTTTCTAATATACTACAGAATATTAGTAATCAGGGCTGAGTAGATGGCTCAGTAGCTAAACTATATGCTATGCAAGTATGAGGACCTGAGTTTTGATTCTCAATGCCCAGATAAATGCTGGGTGTGGGCATGGTGGCATACCCATAATTCCAGGAGGAGACAGGGTCTCCAGGGCAAGCTGGCTAACAGACTAGACATTATCAGAAGGTCTAGGTTTTACTTAGAGACCTTGTATTAACGAATAAGATGGAAGAGAAATCGGGGCAGATTCTCAACATGCACGTTAGGCTTCCACGTGCACAGGCCTGCACTTGCGTATTCACTCCCATACATGAAACAGGAAAATTCCTTGTCCTGCAGTGCTTGGTGGTACATGCCTGTAATCCCAAGACTCTGGAGGCTTAGACAGGAAATATGAGGCCAGCCTGGATTATGTAGTGAAACTCTGACTCCAAACAAAAAGGAAGAACAATAAGTTACTTCTGTTTAAGTACACCCTTGTGCCCATTAAACTTTTAGCTTCCACAGATGTATCTGACATGTTACTTCATGTTACTTCACATAATTTCATCCAGTTCTATTTATGTTTTTGCCAATGGTAGAATTTTAATCTTTTTAAGGCTAAATATTATATTGTATACATATAATACATTTTCTTTGTCTATTCAACAATGGTCACCTAAAGCTGATTCCACATAGAAATAGTACTGTAATAAATGTGCAAATACAGGTGTCTCTTCAACATACGAATTTTCCTTCCCTGGATGAATGCCCAGTGGTGAGACTGCTAGATCCTGTGTCAGAGTTGTCTCTGCTTGTTTGTTTTTGAGATTGTATATCACAGACTGGCCTAAACTTGTTATGTAGCTGAGAATGACCTTGAAATTCTGATCCTCTTACTTCCATCTCATGAGTTCTAAGATTATTGGTGTACCACCACACCTAGTTTATGTAGTGCTAAGGATTAAACCCAGAGTTAGCTAGGTCCTCTACTACATTAGCAACATCCCCATCATTGTCTAGTTTGTTTTGAAACTTTTTTATTTTTAATTATGTGTATTTGTGGGTGTGTGCACGTGAGTGTAGGTGCCCAAGGAGATCAGAGGCATTGGATCCTGGAAGCTGAAGTTGCACGTAATTGTGAGCAGCCTGATGTGGATAGAGATGCTGGGAATGGAACTCAGGTCCTCTGCAAGAGCAGTAAGTGCTCCTAACTGCTGAGTCACCACTTCAAACCCCAACTCTGTCTTTTAAAGAGGCTCCATTTAGGGGCTGGAGAGATGTTCAAGTGCATTGTGGAGGCAGAAGCTGGCTGGAGCAAGCTGGCAGCCTAGACCAGCCCAGTCAGTGAGCTAGCTCTGAGTTCAACTGAGAGATTCTGTCTCAACAAAGTAGAGAATGATAGAGAAAGATATCCATGCACATGCATGCATACCAGGCACACATATCTACATAAAAACAAAAAGAATCTCCATTTTGTGTTCCATAATGGTTGTGCTAGTTTACATACCTATGAAAAAAGGTTCCTTTTTTCATATCCTCAGCAGCATTTGTTGGTTTTTGTCTTTCAAATAATAGCTATTCTAATAGTTGTGAGGTGATACCTCATTGTGACTTTAATTTGTGTTCTTCTGGTGTTTAGTGTGTTAGTTGACTATTTGTACACCCCCTTTGAGAAATATCCAGAAATGTATTCATTTTGCATCAGAATCTTTCATTTTTGCTGTTGTGTTTTAGCCATTTGTTTATTTTGCATTTGACAAACATACTGAGGACAGTATGGCAATGTGGAAGAGTCTGGAGATTCAGGTTTGTCTTGTAGCTAGGGTGAGCATGTGTTCTTCTGTCTGCTTTGCCTAAGGTGACCATGATTTATGCCTGTTGTCTTTGTGCAATTATTAGTAGCATCCTTTTGCACTTTACCATGTTGGAGGACAAATTATCTTGCCACTCTTCCCATAACTCAGCTGACTCCTTTTGGTATGTTATTTGGGCTAAACATTACATAGTTGTAATTTGGCAACTCTAATGAGGCTGCTGAATTCTCTTCCATTTAAACAGACTGTTCCTTGACCAACAGAAGTTGTTCTTAAGCCATTATCTGCCTGGCACTTTTGGGTATGTAGGGTGTGGGGGGCAGGGGAGGGGGAGTGTGTGTGTGTGTGTGTACACATAAAGTAAGGAATGGTCTAGTTCCAGCAAAAGTGGACTCTATACATGAAAATGAGAAACATTTGATATACTTAGCATGCTGGAAATAATATTGTGAATACTTTAATATTTTTATTAGTTCTTTGAGAATTTTATACATTGCATTTTGATCATAGTCACCTACCTCCCTAACTCTTTTTGGATCCAGCCCAACTTTGTCCTCCTTTTTTGAAAATGCATCAAGTTTAATTTGTGCTTGGCATCCACTAGAGTACCTTTTTTTGGCTAAGCAAGAAAGTAAAACTGTATTTTAAATTAATCCATGAACATTCTAAACATTCATTTCTTTTTAAATAGTAAAAATTGAACTTTGATGTCTTGAATATGAAATGATTCATTATAACAATTATACATAGCCTTTAATAATCTGCATATTTTATGCTACGTTCATGTTTTTCCTAATTAATGACTTCACATGTTTAATATTTATAATTTTTCCGTGTCAGTTTCCATATTTATATAAAATGAGTACTTAAGATTAGTAATTCTGCTATTTGTTTACATATTGTTTTCCATCAAAAGAGAAAATGGGACTGAGATTGAGGTTCACTTGTAGAGAGTACTTGCCTAAAATGCAAAAGGCCCTGAGATGGATATCCAAGACTACAAGAAATAAGAGAGAGAAACAGGCTGGGAGTATAGTTCTGTGTTAGAGCATGTGTTTGGCATTATATGAAGCCCTAACACTGAAAAAAGAGAACAAAAGCACCAGATTTTAAAGCTCAAGTAGTTTGGTACTGTAAGGCTCTAGTGTTTAGAATTAAAATGTATCTTAGTGATTGTGCCATTGTTTTATGTTATCATTGGATAATGTGTTAGTGGTTAGTATCAGAAATATATTCCTTATGTTATGTGTGTTGGATTTCCTAATGCAATGTTCTCTTTTTAGAAAAGGTGGACAAGTCTTATTTTCAAGAGAAGATGACTTTTAACAGTTTTGAAGGATCTAGAACTTGTGTACCTGCAGACACCAATAAGGATGAAGAATTTGTAGAAGAGTTTACTAGATTAAAAACGTTTGCTACCTTTCCGAGTAGTAGTCCTGTCTCAGCATCAACATTGGCACGAGCAGGGTTTCTTTATACTGGTGAAGGGGATACTGTGCAGTGCTTTAGTTGTCACGTGACAGTAGATAGATGGCAGTATGGAGACTCAGCTGTTGGAAGACACAGGAAAATATCCCCAAATTGCAGATTTATCAATGGTTTTTATTTTGAAAACAGTGCCACACAGTCTACAAATCCTGGTATCCAAAATGGCCAGTACAAAGCTGAAAACTATGTGGGAAACAGAAGTCATTTTGCTCTTGACAGGCCATCTGAGACTCATGCAGATTATCTTCTGAGGACTGGACAGGTTGTAGATATTTCAGATACCATATACCCGAGGAACCCTGCCATGTGTAGTGAAGAAGCCAGATTGAAGTCATTTCAGAACTGGCCAGACTATGCCCATTTAACCCCCAGAGAGTTAGCTAGTGCTGGCCTCTACTACACAGGGATTGATGATCAAGTGCAGTGTTTTTGTTGTGGTGGAAAACTGAAAAATTGGGAACCCTGTGATCGTGCCTGGTCAGAACACAGGAGACACTTTCCTAATTGCTTCTTTGTTTTGGGCCGGAATGGTAATGTTCGAAGTGAATCTGATGTGAGTTCTGATAGGAATTTCCCAAATTCAACAAATTCTCCAAGAAATCCAGCCATGGCAGAATATGAAGCACGGATCATTACTTTTGGAACATGGATATACTCAGTTAACAAGGAGCAGCTTGCAAGAGCTGGATTTTATGCTTTAGGTAAACTTAACCGGTAAATTACTTTCCATCTGTCACAGGGCTCCCCAAACGAAAGTCATTGCCTTTAGTCTTCGGAACTGATTAGTATTTAGGGCTAAGTTTTTAGGCTTGCTTATCCTCAGTATCATTCTCTGAACTTATATGTTACATCTTTAATGTAACTATTGAATTTATGTTAAAATGCTATGCTACTATGAGTCAGATCTGTTTTCATATAATTTTTTGGGGGGTTGAGTTGAAAAAAAAAGATAGTATCGATTCCTGATAGATAATGGGTCTAAAAATAGTAGCTACCATTTATTGAATATCTACTATTCTGTGTGCTAAAATACTTATTAAATGGATTTTTCTCTAAGCTTCACTATAACCCTATAAAAAGAGTTAACAGAATTTAGTTGGGTTTGTGGTAAATTGACATCAGGCTAAGCATGGTGCCACACTTCTGTAATTCCAGCAATCCATAGGAAGATGAGTTTGAGGGCAGTTTGGGGTATATCATGATACCCTCTCTCAAAAAACCAGCCAAACAAAAATTAACATCTACCTTTAAAACATACACTACATATGTGAAAGCCGCCCTGTATTATGCCTTGCTACTTCAGAGTATTTTTGAAACAGTTCCTATAGATGTCTCAAGAATAGCCAGTAGTGTGGTGACTTCTAGGAATATTTTCTATCTACATGCCTGGCCCATTTATTTTAAGATTGAATAATACCAAATTCAAAATTAAATTATTTCAAATCTTATCATTTATATAACATAGTAATCTTAAAGGTCTGTTTCATGTGAGAGAGCTCTATTGTTAAAGATACTTTGTAATTTATGCTGAATTTTATTGTTTTTAACATTTGGAATATAACTTGGCCAAATTTCAGTTTGATGAAGTAAGTGTAATGGTGATAGCCCAAATGACATACACTAGAAAGAATGTAACAATTGTAGTTTCTAACATAAAAATTTGATTTTGCTTTCATTGTCTTCTACAAAGCCCCTGATATTGAGATGATGAATTTAGAATATATTTCCCCTCAAATGATAAAAATTGTATCTAAATGGAATGTGAATGTCTTCTTTTAAGCCATGAGGTTTTATGTAACTTAGACACCCCTTAAATGTTTGAATGGGCATTTTTCTGAAAACGTTTACTTGCACAGATGCACATACTTTTACTTGTATGTTTTCTTAGGTGAAGGTGATAAAGTGAAGTGCTTTCACTGTGGAGGAGGGCTCACAGATTGGAAGCCAAGTGAAGACCCTTGGGAACAGCATGCTAAGTGGTATCCAGGGTAAGATTCTTCATTGTTCATTCAGTAATAGGAAGATTGGACATTGTGCATGGAAAGATTTGAATTACTTTTCACCTCAACTATTTTTGCCTTCATTATGGCTGGAAATTCACACCAGGTTTATAGAAATGGGGTCACCTACTTTGTAGGCAAAAAAAAAAAAAAAAAACCACCTAAGACTTCTGGTAACCAAAACACTCACTGTCCGTATATCATATGATACTTAGATGGTTCCATTTCTAAACAGCAAATTACAAAAATGTCTACTTTTTATTTAGTATACTATATAAAAAATATATACTTTTTATTTAGAAGTAGGCTCTTTGGAGATTGACCTACACCTATGGTGCCATGAGAAGTCCTGAAGAGGTGTCATAATGTATATTATTAACTGTTTGTGTTTTGTTTGGTTTTAATTTGAAACAAGGTCTCACATCAGGTTGGTCAGAAATTCACAATGTCTTCCAGGCTGGCCTTCATCTTGAAACCCTCTTGTCTCAGTTCCTTTGTCATTTGTAAAATAAAGTACTCAGCTATATAAGTTGTATGAGTTTCTACTATATAAAATAATACAACTTAAAACTTTAGAAGAATCCTTTGAAAAGAATCTTCCTTAAGCAACCTTAAAATTAAATTAGGAAATAAAAACAGATTTTTTTTAAGTGTTCAGTATTGGTTTTAAAAAAAGATTTACCAATTTGAACTTTTAAAAAATGTCAGTGTTGTCTGGGCGCTGGTGGTACACCCCTTTAATCCCAGCATTCAGGAGGCCAAGGCAGGTGGATCTCTTGAGTTCATGGACTCCTTGGTCTATGGATCGAGTTCCAGGACAGCCAGGGCTATACAGAAAAACACTATCTCAAACCTCCCCCTCAAAGAGGTCAGTGTTAGGATACTAATTTAATAGCTTCTTTTGCCTGTTTTCAGTTTTGGATTTTGTTTGTTTTTTTGTGGGTGTTTTTTGAAATACGGTCTTGTTATGTAGCCTTAACTGGCCTGCAACTTCCTATGTAGACCAGGCTGGACTTAAAAATCGTGGCAGTCCTCCAGCTTCTGCCTCTTCAGTATTACAGAGGTGTGGTACCATGCCTGTCTTTTTTGTTTGTTTCTTTTTTGAGACAGGGTCTCTTGGAGCTCAGACTAGCAAGCATTCATTATGTAGCCAGTGATGGTGCTAAACTTTTGATTTGCTTGGCTTAACCCTCTAAGTGCATATATTCCAGGTGTTTGCTACCATACCTGGCTAATAACTTTTTTGACTCTTTGGTTTTTGGGGGACAGGGTATGACTATATAGCCCAGGTTAGCCTAGTTTTCATATCAGTCTTCCTGACTCAGCGTCCCAAGTGCTGGGATTCCAGGCATTTGCCACCAAAATTGGCTCCTAATTTAGTAACTCTTGCTTGAAAATTGAAGTTCTAAAATTGATATTATTAACATGAATAATAGGAACATTATTTTAGCCTTGAAATGACAGCTGGATAAGGAACTGGGTAGCAGTTTGCTTTGTGGCTCCCTAGAAACAGTGAAGCTGAGGCCTTTAATCTCAGCTACTTAGGAGTCTGATAAGATAGGGGATTTCAAGGCCTATTTAGGTTAGAAAGCACAATCAAGGCCAGCCTGGGCAATTTATTAAGACCCTATCTCAAATGAAAAGATGTATTTTTAAAAGACTAGAATGATTTATTCCTATTCTTGACTATAATCCCAGCACTTGAGATATGTAGGCAGGATGATTAGAAGTCCGAGGTCATCTTTGGCTGCATAGCAAGTTTGAGACCAGCTTGAATCACATGAGAACTTGCCTGAAAAAAAGGAAGGGGGTTGGAACTGATGAGACATATAGTTTAGTGATGGAATGCTTGTTTAACATGCACATGGCCCTGAGTTTAGTCCCTAGTACCACGTACAAAAAAGACAGTAACAATGAAAAGGTACATTTTAAAATTACATTTATTTCTTTATTGCCTGGGGGGCGCTTCACATCCCATAGTGCACAAGTGGACAGCTTGCAGGAGTCTGTTCTCTTCTTCCACTGTGTGAGTTCCTGGGATTGAATTCGGGCCATCAGATTTGTCAGAAAGTGCCATCTCTCTGCTCCCAAAAGATGGTTAATAGGATTTATATGATAGAGATGGGCTTTACTAATACTTCACTAAGTTATTAACTAGTAGAGTTTAATTTTCTTTAATCTTTTAGGTGTAAATATCTATTGGATGAGAAGGGGCAAGAATATATAAATAATATTCATTTAACCCATTCGCTTGGGGAATCTTTGGTAAGTTGCCTGTTGTGTAATATATCTTTTCAAAATCTGTACCATTTGTTTTTCTAATGATTTCTTCCAGTAAAATATATGGTATACTACTATAATTAATGTGTAGTAAACTTTAAAGGAGAGAACTTGAAGAAAGTTTCTAATTCTTAACTCTGAAGCAAATTTTTGAAAAGATCAGAGTAAAACAATGTATTGTTGTGGTCAGAATGGGTGTAAAGAACTTAAAATACTGAAATCATTTAGCCTTCAAAAATTAGGCTTTTGTGTAATGTACTTTCCACTCACAAATAGTTTCTACCTTCTGTTTTTTTGTTTTGTTTTGTTTTGTTTTTAAAAACCAGCATCTCACCCTGTAGACCAGGCTGGCCTTGTAAACCTACAAGATGTGCCTGCCTTTGCCTCTTCAGTGCTGAGATTAAAGGAATCTGCCATCATGCCTGGGAATTTTCACCTTAAAAAAAGATGGATTGATTGATTGGTTGGTTGGTTGGTTGATTGAGAGAGAGAGAGAGAGAGAGAGAGAGAGTGTGTGTGTGTGTGTGTGTGTGTGTGTGTGTGTGTGTGTGTGTGTGTGTGTGTACACAACATGTGTTGTGCAGGTACCTGAGGAAAACAGAAGAGGGCATCAGATCCCTAGAGCTGGTGTTACAGTTACAGGCAGTTAGTTGTGAGCTACCCAATATGGATTCTGGGAACTGAACTCTGGTCTTCTGCAAGAGCAGCAAGTGTTCTCAACTGCTGAGCCATCTCTTTAGTTACTTTTAGCACATAGTACTTAAGATTGCAAAAATAAGGCTGGAGATATACATCAGTTATACCTTATCTGGCTATCATAAACAAGGCCGGGACAAAAAAATACACCATACAAAAATGTATCTGAGTAGATACATAGAACAAAGGGCAGTCAAAGCATTAGTGAAATGTAGGAAGCATCCTAGACTGGAATGGGAGTCTAGAGTTGACATGATGGTTCTACCATTAGTTTTTAGTTTAGTTTGTGTTTGTTTGTTTCCCCTCAGGAAGTCATTTGATCTCATTGGCCCTCATCTTCTTGTCTGTAAAGTGGTGATGTTGGAGTAAATAGTCTTAACTTCCTTCTGTTCCATCAGGCTATGCTCTTGTGAATAGTCATGTTTTAAATTAGAATAAAACCAATTTTTTTAAGTTTATTAACTTTTCAAATTGAGATAATTTCTTTCTACTAAAGTGAATTTTTACCATTCATATTTCTATTTTAGGTAAGAACTGCTGAAAAAACGACTTCACTAACTACAAAAATTGGTAAATATGCTTATTAAAATAAATCTGTGTTTAATTTTGTGGCCAAATTACTGTGGTATGTTTAATGAAGTTGCTATAAATTTAAGAATTTAATGAAGTACTTATCATTTTATATCATATATTTCTGTAGTGAAGATGTTAATAGAAAGCCAGGTGTTGCTGGGCAGTGCTGGTGCGTGCCTTTAGCTGTGTTAATGAAAATATTTGTTTCGGCTGTGTTCTTTCTCCATCCTACTTTGATTTCAGATGATACCATCTTCCAGAATCCTATGGTACAAGAAGCTATACGAATGGGATTTAGTTTCAGGGACATTAAGAAAACAATGGAAGAAAAAATCCAAACATCTGGGAGCAGCTATCTATCACTTGAGGTTCTGATTGCAGATCTAGTGAGTGCTCAGAAAGATAATACACAGGATGAGTCAAGTCAGACTTCATTGCAGAAAGGTATGTATTTTTTTAAACGAAAGTAACAACTTTGCAACCCATTCATTTCCTGTTTATAATATCCCCATGGGATAAACATTTTTTACTCTTTTATTATGATAAATTTCAAACATACACAGAAGTGGAAAGAACAATGAGTCAGCTTCAATAATAAACAACTCGTTCCCATCTTGATTCTCATCTTCTCCTATCTTTTTGTCCATAGTAAATATAAGACAAAGTAAATATAAGACATCCTGTGCATCATCATCTACAAATACTTTAATATATAGTCAGCATATTAGGGTATTTTTTAAGTATGCCCTCAATGCTGTGTTTCTGAGGCTACTATAACAAAATACCACAGAATAGATAGTTTAAACAAAATGTGTTTTTTTCTCACAGACTGAAAAGTCCAAAATCTAGGTCTTCCTGCAGCTAGTTGCCTTCCCGAAGTAGTGTTTATAGCCTCTCAGGTCTTTCTTCTTCTACTTACTAGAATATTAATTCCCCCAGGAGTTCTCATGCTCATGACTTCATATAAACCTAATTGTATTCATGCATTGCTTAACAATGGAGATATGTTCTGAGAAATGTGTTGTTAAACAATCTCATTATTGAATGAATGTCATCAAATATACTTATACAAACATAGATGGTATATGTCAGTCACTTGATATGGCTTCTTCATACAACTCAGATACTTTGTAAACATAAGATGTATGCCATTAGGTTTCTGCTGACATGATATGACATTGTTTCATGGTAGTTATATTTATATGAAGGAGTATATTCTAATAATAAAGTGTGTAAGGTAATATGTGAACCAGTAGCATAGTTGTTGGGGTTTTTTTCTTTTCATTATCATATATTAATATGTATGCTATGTTTTCATATGACTAGCAGCTCAGGAGGTTAGTTAATACCAGCATCATCACAAACATGTGATGCATTATGCCATAACATTAGGCTGGCTGAAATGTCACTAGATATGATAGGATTTTTTCAGTTCACTTGTGATCTGGAACAAATACATGATTTCTGGTTTACAAAGCATTGTTCAGTAGCACATTACTATACTTCCTAAAGCCCTTCCTCTGAACATCACTGTGTGGAACGTTAAGGCTGGAGCATATGAATGTTAGGAACACAAAACATTCAGTTCATATCACATTGTTATCACACTTGACAAAATTAACTAATTCTCTAAATCATCAGAAACCTAGTTGGTTTTTAATACTCCTCCTTTGTTTTTAGTGCTATAGGGTAAACTCGGCCTGATACATGTTAACGGAGTGTTCTACCAATGAGCCACACCCCTCATTTCTTGAGTTTCTTAAAGCATTTCTACACTTGACCCATTAGTAAGATTCACCAGTTTCTTCATTTTAGTTTTAAATGCCTCATTTCCATATATTAATTACATATAATGATAGGTTTCATGTACCACATTCCTTCCACTAATCCCCTTCGAATTTCATGCCCCCACCCTTTGTGACTCAATGAGTTTCATTAGGGAGATATATATATTTATTTATTTGTGTGTGCTCCTGTGTGTGCATATGCATGTGTGTGCACATAAATGTAAAGGCCGGAAAAGAACAACCTCAGGCGTTGTTTCTCCACCTTGTTTTTTTAAATGGGTAATTTTTCAGTGTCTGTAAGATTAAATAAAATGTCTCCAATAACCATTTAACTGTGTATGAATTCTCAGGGAAGAGTGGGGTCTTAGGACCTTTTCCCCTTTACATGACAGGATGTTTAGTGACCTAATCTTGGAAGATCTTGTACAGGAATCACATTTTAAGTTTGTTTTTTAGATAGGGTCTCCCACAGAAGCTGGTTTTGAACTGCTTAGTAGCTGAGGATGACCTTGAATTTCTGTTCCTCCTGCCTCTACCTCCCAAATTCTGAGATTACAGGCATGCAGCATTATTCCTAGTTTATGAGGTGCTTGGGATTGGGCCTAGGACCTTGTGCGAGATAAAGTATTTTTTGATTGTTTGAGATGGGATCTTACCCTGTAACAGCCCTGGCTGTGCTGGAACTCACTTTGTAGAGCATGCTGGCCTCAAACTCTCATAGATCTACCTGTTTCTGCTTCTCATGTGTCGAGGTTAAAGGTATACATCACCGCTGTTATCTGGGTTAGACTATTTTAGACAAAGAACAACAGAGGCTTTTATTATTGTGTGTAGAATCTAAGTTTTGTAACTGAAACAGTTTGGTTTTAAAGTATTCTGCAACTTTTCATATGTGAAAACATAAGGGGATCATACTATTAAATAGGCTTTGAATTAAAATAAATCCTAATACTCTACATTTTATAGAGAAAGCCAGACGGTAGTCCACACTTATAATCTCCATTCAGAGGGAGAGGCAATAGGATAACTCGTTTCAGACTAGCCTGGCTGCATTGTAAGACCTGTTGAAAATATCCAGCAAAAGAAAATACATTAAATAATGTTAAAAGAAAACATAGCTTTTAAAGATTCCTGGCATGGGGAGGCAGCTGAGTGGTTAAAGTGTTTTGTAAACATGAGGACCTAAGTTTGGATCTCAAGACCAACCTAAAAGCCAGATGTGGTGCGCCTGTAACCCCAGAACTAGGGGTGTGAGGAAGAGAGACAAGCAGATCCTCAGGGATTCCTGACCAGCCAGTCTAGCCAATTGGTGAATTCCAGGGTCAGAGAGAGACTGTTTCAAAAAAGAATGTGGAGGAGCAATTGAGAAGATACCTGACATAAGTCTCTACCCTTCATGCACACAAGCAAGTTTACTTATATACACAGGCGTACACCAGCCCCACAAATATAGACACATGTACACACAGTTTTTTTAAGGTTCTGCATGCTTTATTATTAAAAAAAAATTAGCTCTTGTGAAACAAAAAAGCAAACCAGATTCCCAATTTAAACATGACCAAGTCCCCAGTGGTTAAAACATTCAACTCCATCTGATAGGATTGATGGATGATGTAATTCTCCTCCAGTATCTTGTCTTGGAGTTGTACCTGACTTTGTTACCAGTTTTCATCTAAATCCCTCGGGGCAATAGAGCAGTATTGCCTTTGTTTCTTGGCTAGTAATCTCTTGATTCTGAAAGTCTTGTGGGATGACATGGCAAGAAACAATCAGACCTATGGCTCATGATAGTGGAGGAAAGGCACACACACATTTTATTTTGTTTTAATACATGAGGAGAGAAAATTAAAAAAAATACATGAAAGGGGCTGGAGAGATGGCTTGGTGATTTAAAAAATTATAGTACTCTAGCAGAGGACACAAATTTGGTTCCCAGCGTCTATGCTGGGTGGTTTGCAACTGCCTGTAACTCCAGATCCAGGATATCTGACACCCTCTTGTGGTTTCCACAAGCACTTACACAAATGTACTATATGCGCGCACACACAAATAAATGTTATTTAAAAATATATAAAAAACACAAGTTCCTAAGCTAAGGCATAGTAGTCTCAGCAATCTATATTCTTCGCTGCTTTGGAGGCTAAGGTGGTAGGCTCGCTTCAGCCTAGGAGCTCAAGACCAGTCTGAGCAACATACAAGACCATGTCTCCCAAAGTTTGAAAGATATACTAAAAATATTAGAAAGGGTCACCAAATGTCATCTAGATACCAAGCCTTTATTGTTATGTACCTAGGACATGCTGGTCTCGAAGGGAGGCTTGTGAAAAATACAAGAAGAAAGAGCCCTGAGTGTGGTGACACAGGCTTTTAATCCTAACACTCAGGAGGCAGAGGCAGGTAGACCTCTGTGAGTTCAAGGCCAGCCTGATGATCTATAGCAAGTTCCAGAATAGGCAGAGCTGCATAGAGAGACGCTGATTCAGAAACAACAACAAAAAGCTGCTATAGGCAAGGATGTAGAACACAATATTCACCTTTGTGGTATGAAGCAATTGCCAGTGGTAAATTTCTAGTCAGGAGCATCCTCAGTACGTGGCTGACTAGAAAAAGTAGAGTTGATCCTATCAGTATTTAAGTTCATTCCATTGGGTCTGTAAAATGAAATCACAATCAAACTCAAGAGGAATATTAATTCTTGAGCATTATAATCCCAATACTCTAGAGGCTAAAGCAGAAAGAGCTAGCCTAGATTTATGATCATTTTAGGTTACATAGCAAGACTCTGCTTCAAAAGGAAAGGGGTATTCTCAGGATATAGCTCACTTGATAGAGAGCTTGTGTAGCATGTGGATAGCCCAGGATTCTATCCCCAACACAGCATACATAAACTGTATGCCTTTAATCCCAGAATTTGGAAAGTACAAACAGGAGGGTCAGGAGTTCAAGGTCATCTTTTGCTACATAATGAGTTTGAGGCCAGCTAGGATACATGAGATACTATCTCAAAAAGATAAAAGAACAGAAAAACAACCTAGATTATATTATGCTTTTATGATTTCAATGTGCAACCAAAAATACAGCAGATAAGCTGCTACCAGGAATTATTTTTTAATTGTAGTAAAGTGCACATCAAATTTACCATCTTATAACTGGGGATATAGCTCAGTGGTACAGTAATTACCTAATATACCTAGAGACCCTGGGTTTGATTCCCAGTAACACACACACACACACACACACACACACAAATGACTATCTCGCCGGGCGGTGGTGGCACACGCCTTTAATCCCAGCACTGGGAGGCAGAGGCAGGTGGATCTCTGATTTTGAGGCCAGCCTGGTCTCCAAAGCGAGTTCCAGGAAAGGCGCAAAGCTACAAAGAGAAACCCTGTCTTGAAAAACAAAAAAAGACTGTCTTAACATTTTTTATGTGTATAGCGTAGTAGAGTTACATACATTCATACTGTTGAATTATACAACCACTCTGAAGAATTTGGTCCTGATGATCAAACGTAGGATCTTATACATGCCAGGACAGTTGAGGCATATACCCAACCACAGCCCATCTTCATTGAGTGTAGAAAGTTGTTTCTTAAGAAGAGATTAGAGGCCAGGCAGTGGTGGTAGAGGTAGAGGCAGGCAGATCTCTGTGAGTTCAAGGCCAACCTGGTCTACAGAGTGAGTTCCAGGACAGTCAGGACTGTTTCACAGAGAAACCCTGTCTCGAAAAACAAAAACAAACAACAACAACAAAAAAAGATTAGAGGGGCTGGAGAGATGGCTCAGTGGTTAAGAGCACCAACTGCTCTTCCAGAGGTCCCAAATTCCTAGCACCCTCATAGCAGCTCATAACTATCTGTGACTCCAGTTCCAGATGATCCAACACCCTCACACAGATGCACATGCAGGCAAAACACAAGTACACATAAAATATAAATTAATTTAAAAAAGAGAGAGAGACGAGAACAATACTTTTGTCCCCTTCCTACCCAGAGAAACTTCACTGGAGCTCAAATGTGACAGTGCCTCTCTCTGGAAACTCCTCACCAGCTCTCAGGACTTTTAGAATCAAGTCCCAACTCTTTGATGCTTTGCCATATCTTTAAGGATCAGTTCTTGCTGGCCTTCTGTACTGGTCTCTTTTCCTTCAGATTCAATGACCAGTTTTTACCTATGTTCCTTTAAGTCATGTTCTATCTCTTAGAACATGCTTCAGTCATTTCTTTCACCTAAAGCAGTTTCTGTCATTGCTCTGGCCTCTAAGGCCCCTCCCTCTGCTAGGTAACACCTGTACATTCTATATGACCCAAGTTAGGTATAATTTCCTTGAAGGGCCTTCATTTAATACCTTAGTCACCATAGTGTATCAAAGTTTCCTGTTTACTTATGTTCCCTACTTGTCTGCATATTGGATGCCTAAAACACATGTATGTATTTATTCATTGTATACCAAGTATCTAAGTAAGTGTTCAATAAGTACTTGAATGAAATTAAACTATTACTTTCTAAACATATTTTGTAAGTAATGTTCCCTTCTAGGACACTAAATGTCATAAAAAGATGTGATGCCAGGCATACTGGCACAAATGTTTAATCCCAGCATTTCAGGTGGCAAGGCAGGCAGATCTCTTAAGTTCCAGGCTAACCAGGGCTACATAGTGAGACCCTGGTTTTGTTTGTTTGTTTGGTTGGTTGGTTGGTTGATTGGTTGGTTGGTTGGTTTTTTGGTGTTTCAAGACAGGGTTTCCTCTGTATAACAGCTCTGGTTGTCCCAGAATTCACTCTGTAGACCAGGCTGGCCTCACAGATCCGCCTGCCTCTGCCTCTAGAGTGCTGGGATTAAAGACATGCGCTACCACACCAGGCTTGTTGTTTTTAAAGGAGCTACATAGTTAAATAGGGAAATGCATCGAATGTTTCCATAATGATATGATATATATATACATATGTGTGTGTGTATACATATAATAAAGTAATTCCCATGTGCCAGTGTGACTAGCACTAGAAGTTTTAGAGTTAGTAGAAGAGCCTAGCAGGTATGGGGTGACTGCTCACTCAGTAAAGGCACCTGCTTTCAAGCCTGAAGACCCGCCTTGAGTTTGATCCTGGAACCTATGTGGTTGAATGAGAGAAGCAGGTCTTGAAAGTTGCCCTCTGGCTTTCACACATGTGCTACAGTATACACACCCACACAAATATAAATAAATTATTTTTTAAAAAGAAAACTTGTTTTTTTAAATGCCACAAGAGGTAGGGATGTGGCACAATGAACGAGCAGTATACAATATCCTCGACTTCCATACCCAACATCAATGACACCCCCCTCCTCCAACATACATACCAAAGGAAAAAAACAAGTAACTCTCACTTGAGGCCAGATTTATAAACGATTAGTATACAGTGATTACAAAGATAGTTAAAATAGGTAATTATTTGTAGTGCCTAGCACATAATATTTATGCTCTATTACTATTGATTGTTGCTGGTGTTATCATATATGACCAGTCACAGTTTTGTGGCATATTTGTTAGACTTTCATAAAATCTGTTTTGGCAAAAGTTCAACTATACAGCTACTTCAGTATCCTATATGTATATGCTAATCATGCCCAAATATGTTTTTTGTTTGGATATCCTGCCAACGTCTCAAATATAGCTGAAAATGTAAAGCCTCTACCTCCTTTTATATTTCCAGTAATTCTTATCATCTCCTTGACACATTAGCAAACCCAACTTTACTTCCTCTCTCTCTCTTTAGCCCTCATATCTAAGCACCAAATCCTACTTGTGCCACTGGAGAAGTGTCCATCAAATGGACCCCTTTCTTACTAGTGCCCTTCAGAGATTTTGCTTTTCCTTCATCCTTGCTTTTCTGCCTGACAAATTGTTGCCTGTACTTAAATGTCACAGTGCACCTCTTTCTCATGATGCCTTCTCCAACCAGCCAGACAGAAGAACTTGTTCATCTTGCCCCAGAGCACTTTGTATGTAACTTTATTATAGTACTTACTACTTTGTACTTACCTCTCTAGCTGCAGCTCACAGTCTCTCCCACTAGCATACAAACTACTTAAGAATGTGTGCCATGTATGAGTCATTTTCATGTCTCCCAAGACTTGAGTGTCTGGCAAACAGAAGGGGTTCAGTGTTTCAATGAATTTAAACAACAAACCCAAAAACTAGTATATGTTGTTTTTCTCTTTGTGCAGACATTAGTACTGAAGAGCAGCTACGACGCCTGCAAGAAGAGAAGCTTTGCAAAATCTGCATGGATAAAAATATTGCTGTAGTTTTTGTTCCTTGTGGACATCTGGTCACTTGTAAACAATGTGCCGAAGCAGTTGACAAATGTCCCATGTGCTACACAATCATTACGTTCAAGCAAAAAATTTTTATGTCTTAATTCAGAGCCACAGTAGGCATGTTATGTTCTTCTTACTCTAATTGAATGTGTGATGTGAGCAAACTTTAAGTAATCAGCATTGCATTCCATTAGCATCTGCTTCCAAGTGGAAATAAATGTTAACAGCACTGTTGCAGTCTAAACTTTGAATTTCTAGATCTTTCAGGTTATTAGCTATATTGTTTATCCAATTTTTTACTCAATTGAAACGTCAGACAAAGAAGCATTTAATATTGTAACTTTTCGCCTTATGTATTTGTAGTACACTGACTTGATTTCTATGTGTAAGTGAATTAATCACCTGCATTTTTCATTCCTTTTGGATAAGCTTAACAAATGGAGTGTTCTGTATAAGCAGGGAGATTTGAGTTAATCTACCCAATCACTTAATTTGTTTATTGTGAACATGGAATGAACTGTTCCACACTGGTGGGAGGATAAACATTGTCTTTAGATGTTTGTTTCTGTGTTTTATGATTCTGTCTGTTTCCTTTCGAAATTATAAATGTACTTGTGTGAATGATTTTTTTTCAAGTGATTTTGCCATCTCCCAAAAGGTATTTAATGTAGACTACTATCTAACCAGCATATACTAACATGGAAAGACAACAAAGATATAGTAAGTGTAAAATACAAATGGCAAAACACTATGTATAGTTTGAGGCAAATCAAGGTGTGTGAATTTTGTATCTGTATAGGACAAAAGAGATTTGGAAATATATGCATCACACTCTTAAATATGTTTTTTTTTTCTTGGGGGGGGTGGGGGCATGGGTCTTAGAGGGGATTATAGGAGCCCTTCTCTCTGTTTTTCATTTTATTCTGTTTGAAGTTTATATAAGTATGTATTACTTTTATATAATCAGAAATTTTAGGAAATATTTTACTGATTTAAAGGCTTAGGCATGTTCAAACGTCTGCAAAACTACTTATTGCTCAGTTTTAGTTTTTCTAATCCAAGAAGGCAGGCCAGTTAACCTTTCTGGTGCCAATGTGAAGTTTAAATATTTTTGTTTTACCTGCTTTGTGGATGAAAAATATTTCTGAGTGGTAGTTTTCTGACAGGTAGATCATGTCTTCTTATCTTGTTTCAAAATAAATATTTCTGATTTTGTAAAATGAAATATAAAATATGTCTCAGATCTTCCAATTAATTAGTAAGGATTCATCCTTAATCCTTGCTAGTTTAAGCCTGCCTAAGTCACTTTACTAAAAGATCTTTGTTAACCCAGTATTTTAAACATCTGTCTGCTTATGTAGGTAAAAGTAGAAGCATGTTTGTATACTGCTTGTAGTTTTAGTGACAGCTTTCCTTGTTGAGATTCTCATGTCAGTTTGTGTCTTCAAAGTTTCATGTGAGTTTTTACTGTTAGGTGAATTAAGATGTATATAGTACAGAATGGTAAGTCTCTGTTTTATGTTTGTTTGTTTCTTGACTAGTAATGGTAGTGAATACTTTTAAAACATTTTCTCAAGATCCTTAAAGCCTCTTGAAAATTGTAACATGCTGACAAGAGTAGTTGTTTAAATATTTTTTAACAACTTGTGTAAGAGTCAATATGAATAAAATCAAGCTAAAATGCTTCATAGAACACAGGATTTACCTTAAACGATTATCATGATAGACCTCTTGTAGAGACTGGTCTATTTTATTACAGAGAACAGTTTGGGAGTGAAACTGTTACTGAAAACAGTTTAGACTTTTTGTTGTATTTTCTAAGAGAAAGAGTATTGTTAGGTTCTCCTGACGTCTGTTGACTACTATGGTAAGTGATGTTATTTTAATTGCAAATTTAAATAGAAATTAACAGAATTAAATACATGACTGTGCTCTCTCTCTCTCTGTCTCTCTCTCTGTCTCTCTGTCTCTCTCTCTGTCTCTCTCTCTCTCTCTCTCTCTCTCTCTCTCTCACACACACACACACACACACACACACACACACACACACACACACACACGAAAATCCTTAGTTCCTTCCATTGTCTCCTACTTAGGTTCAGTTATGTAGTCATTAAGTTGAATTTGATCTAAATTGACTAAGATTTAAATTTAAATTTACATTTAAAGCATTCTACAAGGGGATAAAGTTATTAATTTAGAAAAAATGTTTTCTTTTTTTTTTTTTTTCTTTTTTGGTTTTTCGAGACAGGGTTTCTCTGTGTAGCTTTGCGCCTTTCCTGGAACTCACTTGGTAGCCCAGGCTGGCCTCGAACTCACAGAGATCCGCCTGGCTCTGCCTCCCGAGTGCTGGGATTAAAGGCGCGCGCCACCACCGCCCGGCAGAAAAAATGTTTTCTAAGACACTTCAGGTACAAGTCATGTAGGTAGTTTGTTTAATCTAATTGTTATCCAAGGATTTAAGGACTGAATTGTTTTTGAATAAGGCTTTTTCTTGTTTTGGGAGCCTCAGTTCATCAAAACTCTCTTTTTAAAACTTGTGTGCTGAGAGTTAAGCAAGACCTCTTTTTTTGTCTTCATGAGTTGCGAAATTGAATTCATGAAGCTGATGTGGCTAACAAGTTTATTTTAAGAATTGTTTGGAAAATGCTGTTGCTTCGGGTTCTTAAAATTACAGCACTCCAACTCTAATCAAATTGTTGGAGACTTACCAGAGTTGGTCTGAGCTCACACTAAAACAAAACAAAACAAAATACTAGATCCTTTCCAATAAAGCTGTGTAAAAGATTGGTCACTTAGAAGGTCAAAATACAACCAGATCCAAATCACCCCCGAGAGTTCTCACTATCTGTGTTGATATTCTTTTCTGTATAAAGTTCACTCTAGGATTTTGAAGTAACCATCTATTTTGCTACATATTAGTCATGTGAAATTTGAGTTATTTTGTAATAAATAGTTAATTTTATTTGTAATTCACTGTGTTGTTGAAAATTTTTGTGAGTGTTTGGCATTTATTAAATAAATACAGTTTATTTGGTTAACAGCTTAGCATTCCCTTTCCTGCTAGATCTTGCCTCTTCCTTTGGTTAGGGGTAGAGGTGAGGTGAGTGTAGTAAGTGAATATAATGTGATTTGGCTATGTTGTTATGACATTTTGTTGCTTTGTTATTTACAATGTGTGGTTTTTTTCTGTTTTCATTTTAGTAAGGTAAAATTTCTATCTTGAGCTCTCTGAATGGAAACTACCACCCCAGCATTAGCTGCATGTATTTTTCCCATTAGACCTAAATCATGAAATAGATTGTATGTCATTGCTCTTAGCAAAATAAGAAAATGGAGAAATATCTGACAGATAGCATTTTAGTCAAATCTTCTCTTTTTAAAAAAGTAACCATCAGTGAAGAAATAAACTGGCTGTATAGGCTTCAGATCTCCAGAACCCACAGGAAAGCTGGGTGCAATAGCACAAGCATCTGTAATCCTAGAATGCCTACATGAGACAGGAAGCAGCTAGGAGAATGTCCAGAAGCTCAAGGTCAGCTAATTTGGCTTAGGCATTAGTAAAGAGACACTATTAAACAAGATGGAAGATGAGGCCCCACCAATACCAAAGGTTATCCTTTGGGTCACCTGCCCTCCACACATGCATCATGGCAGGTATCCACCTATACCCAGACACGTACGTACACAAAAGAGAAAAAACAAAAAGTAGCCATCTGTAAAATGAGAGTATTACATTAACCATCTTCTCCAAGATGGTGGAACTCAACTCAAGAAGAATATATCTTATGCTCTAAGTGTTAATTCTTATCCTAAAACTTTTTTTTTTCTGAGACAGGGTTTTTCTGTGTAGCCCTGGCTGTCCTGGATCTCGCTCTGTAGACCAGGCTGACCTCAAACTCAGAGATCCGCCTGCCTCTGCCTCCCAGGTGCTGGGATTAAAGGCGTGCGCCACCACTGCTCAGCTTCATCCTAAAATTTTTAGGCCCTTCCATGGGTTTGCCTTGGACTAAAGCTTGAAAGACATCCTGGAAAGATAACTCAGCTGTTGAGAGTGCTTGCTGCTTCTGTAGAGGACCAAGGGTTCCCAGCACCCACATGGTGGCTTACAACTGCATGTAACTTCAGCTTCAGGCTATGTCGTGTCCTCTTCTGGCCTCCATGAGTACCTACATGCGTGTACATACATACAAACATACACGCATACACGTAACATAAAAATAATCGTAGAGCTTAAATGACATATATTAACTTTTAATCACTATTACTCATTTCTATGGATGCTCCTTATAATGAAGCTATAAATTGCAATAAAAAATAGACCAATCCTTAAAAAAAAATGTTTAAATTCTTTTCTCAAAAACTAGAAAAAACATTCTTACTAAATTCAGTTGAGTTTTCCTAATAGAAACAATCAACTTATTCCCATTTTAATATTTCAGTTTGGCTCTGAACCATTTAACACAATGTAGATTTCTTCCTTACCTAATGAAATCACAGACTATTAGCTAGAAATTACCTTAGAGAGTAGCTCATTCACACACCACCACCCTCACTTTATTGCTGAGGTAGACTTTCCTGGGACATAGTTTGTAGTCGAGAAACCCCTCAGCACACCAGCTACCTGTCCTGGGAAGTGTTGGGTGTTCATTTTTCAACAGTTCCTTCCATTATGCTCCAATTTTCACTGCACAGGAAGTAGTGCTTTCTCATTGCTACAGTAGGACAGTCCCTACTACTTTCCAATTAAATAATATAACATTAATGCTTGAGTGGTAAAGTTCTCATTCGGAGGCTGCAGTTTGCAGATGTGAGTACAGATGTTTGACATTTACTGTGTGCTTATGTATCATTAATGGAACATTGAAGATTACTGTGTGAGTTTATTTTTATCACTGTCAATACTTACCAACAAGCTTGCATTTTAAATTTAATATTAATAATGGCTTTAATGTAGTTTCTGGTTTTGCATTTTTTGTTATACTTCACCTGACAGAATGACCAATTGTTTTGTTGTTTTGTTAGGGTTGTGAATAATTAATTATGTTAAGCATTTTGAGACAGAATAGTATATTTGTGAATATAATTTTATGGCTTTTTTTCATTTAGTGGATACCTTTCAGTATGGAAATTTATGAAAATTGCTTTCTGCTCTATAATCTGTCATTTGTTGTAGATTAAAGCTTATTTTTCTGTGACTAAGACTTATTCAATAAAGCACTATTCTTTAAAATGATACCTTCTTTGTATTTGATTTTGTTTTGTTGAGAAAGGATTTCATGCATCAACCCAAGCTACTGGCTGTAAATGCCATATGTGGATGAGTAACCTTGAACTTCTGATCCTCCTTCCCCTACCTCCCTAGTACTGGGATTGCCTGATATATGGAGCATTGAGGATCAAACCCAGGACTTCATGCATGCTAAGTTCTATCAACTAAGGTAGATTGAACTGAGGTTAGAAGGCTTGGCAGCAGGTACCCTTACCCACTAAACCACATACACACAGACACCTACCCCTCTTCGAGATACATTGTACACATAATTAAAAGTAATGAGCCAGGCAGTGTGGTGAGTTCCAGGACAGCCAGGGCTACACAGATAGAAACTCTCTCCACAAACAAAAAAAGGGTAATGAATCTTTTTTAAAAATACATTAAAATAGGGCCAGAAGTGTAGCTCAGTGGCATAGCACCTGCCTAACATACATGAGAACCTACATTGAATCCCCAACACCAGAAAAAAAATTAAAATATAAATAGTTAACACCATTCTCCTCACAGAGTAGCTTGTTTGTGTTCAAAGACCATATAGTCACTGTAAAACCAAAGGTGGAACAAGCAAGAAATAGTGATCCTAAGAACCACTGCCCCACTGAGGCAGGCAGGAATAAGGGACTTTCATGAGTTAGGGTACATACTGGCCAGAGTTTCAAAATGTGAGAGCAATTTGGCCTGATACAGTCTCCCTAGATGGAAATCTACAAGGAGCTACTTCAAGTGACTATTGTCCTGTCCCTTCTAATCCACAATACAGATTCTGAAGTGAATTCTATTCCAACCAGGTGTTATGGCACATGCCTGTAAACCCAACATATAGAAGGGGAGACAAAAGGAGTTCAAGGCCAACTAAGGATACGTGAGACCTTGTTTTTAAAAAGAAACGTATTTCAGGCCGTCTGTGTAGGGACTGGTTAATCTTTGACAATATTATCACTGTCAAAAATCATTGTCATCAAAAAACAAAAGACTTGCCAACAGATCTGGCTTTGAGGTAGGGTCTTAATCTCTAGTCCCAGCTGGATTTAAATTTAGCAAACCTTTTGCTTTGGCCTCCTCTTAAGTGCTGAGACTGTGGGCATGAACCACTATGCCCAGCTCACGTTCAAAAAACGTTCTCCTGCATATAATATATATTTGAACTTTGTAATGGTAATATTGTAACTCAGTGCTGAATTCAGAATAATCCCAAATTGTTTATTGCCTCTAAACTACCCTGATCAAGAGCTGGCAAGATTGTTGAACAGATAAAAGGCACCAACAAGCCTGATGAGTAATCCTCAGAACCCATAGGGCAGAAGAAAAACAACTTCTGCATGTTTTCCTCTTGGCTTCCGTACATACTAGAGTACATGTGTGTACATATATACATGTATGGCACACACATGGTTTTAAAGAAGTACCCTTTGATCAAGCAATGAAAGAGTTAAGGATTTGAAAGCTCAGCTGTAAGTGCTGGTGGGTGACAGCAACCGGATGAGATTGTGCAGAACGGATCTGCACTTCTACAGAGCCAACACTTCAGTGAAATGTGAGCCATTAATTTGGAAGGAAAGAATTTCAGAGTTGGAAGGAGTCAGCCTTTCTAATTCATAATAATTAACAGTTCTGATTTTTTTCCAGTTCTGAAATTTTTCAAGTGTGGCACAAAAGAAAGCAGAGTGCTCAGTCTTTAGATGATGAGAGTTGTGTAAATTGATCATGTCAGTCTATATTGTAACTAAAATAGTGGTCTGGATAGGTGTAAGGCTAGATGACAGTTTATTATTTTAAGTCTTAGTTTGTATGAGATTTCCAAGATAACATAATGACTCGTAATTAATGAAAACAGCACAGAAATCTTTTGCGTGTGCCTATACTTATTAACCTTAGGCTTCTGTATAGATATTGGAAGAATACTGGTTTCTTTTTTTTTTTTTTTTTTTTTTTGGTTTTTCCAAACAGGGTTTGTCTGTGTAGCTTTGCGCCTTTCCTGGAACTCACTCTGTAGGCCCCAGGCTGGCCTCGAACTCACAGAGATCTGCGTGCCTCTGCCTCCTGTGTGCTGGGATTAAAGGCGTGAGCCACCACCGCCCAGCAGGAATACTGGTTTCAAATAAAGAATAAAAACAAAGGAGAATCAGATTTTCATCATTTTGTTCTTTCCAGAGAAGAATTTGAGGAAAATCTAGGATATAATTAATTGAGATACTGTGTATTGAATCAGCGGTCTTGTTCCAAACCTAATTTCTTTCTGAGACAGGGTCCAATGAAGCTCAGGACTGGCCAGCAGGGATTACAGGCATACACGTACCACAATGTCTCACTTTCAAAATCTTAATTATTTCAGTAGCTTTTACTGCCAAAATGTATGCACATATTTAGATAGATATAGTCTTAGCATTTCCTAGGCTCAAACCTAGAGCTTCACTTAGACTAGGGAAGTACTTTATCACTGAGCTATACATCCAACCCCCCAATATGTATTTTACATTGAAAATTACCAATGTGCATTTTTTTCTTTTTTAAGATCTATTTATTTTTTATGTGCACTGGCATTTTGCCTGCATGTATGTCTGTGTGAGGGTGTCAGATCCCCTGGAACTGGAGTTCAGACGGTTGTGAGCTGTCATGTGGGTGCTGGGAATTGAACCTGGGTTCTCTTGAAGAGCAGCCAATGCTCTTAACCACTGAACCATCTCCCCAGCCCCTTGTGTACATTTTTTTTAATTTTTTTTAAATTTATTTATTCTTATTTCATGTACACTGGTGTTTTGCCATGGGTGTTGGGTCTCAGAAACTGGAGTTACAGACAGTTGTGAGCTGCCATGTGGGTGCTGGGAATTGAACCAGGGTCCTCTGGAAGAGCAGTCAGTGCTCTTAACCACTAAGCCATCTCTCCAGCCCCCCTTGTGTACATTTTTAAAATAAACTTTCTTTGTATATTCATTTCTCGTGTGTGTGTGTGTCTGTCTGTCTGTCTGTCCGTGTGCCTGAGCACAAGTGTTCTTTCTTTAGCTTTGTTACATTACTTGATGATTATTACTAGGGATTTCTTATATAAAGAGTTTTGTATTTTTAGCTAAAGCATTGAAAATGTATTTGTTCATTAAATACTGGAACTTATTTTGCCAGAAATTAGGGTCTGTTTCTGTGAGATCAGTAGCAATTGTCTTGAGGCGAAAGACATGAGAGTGTGTGAACACCAATTGATGTTTCCAAGTAACTGTTATTAAAACAGTAGACTCAAAACCCCACCCCCTATAAAATCTTCTGTTTTTTTAAATTAATTTTATGAAATAGGGAAAAACTTTCTAAAATTATTTTTCATTGACTATTTAAACATGGATCTTGGCTTTATTGGTAAAAAATTAGCAAATGTCTGTGTTAATCATTAAGAGTATGTCCTAACAGATCTGGAAAAACCTGTTTTTCTTTCAGCTACATTTTATTTGATTATTAAAATGAACATACTCTACTTCTTAGCTTTCTGTTATAAACTTTTCAGATATGTTATATTTTATGTGAGCTGTAAGAATTAATGGAAAAGTCAAGTGTTGACAATAGTTATAAACCAATATTTTTTCACTTACATGAAATGAGCATAAAAAATATTCATAATGGATATAGCTATTCTTGTTCCTCCTGCCTTGTGTGATTGGGAAGACCATGTGAGAAAATGTACATGAAAGAGTTGAAAGGAATAAGCCCTCTGTAAGCCTGAGGGATCATTCCTCTAATTAGAGTGTATTGAACTAATTACAGGTTAGTTTGACACAAAATGAAGCAGTTGAGGACCAGCGTCTGATTAATCAGGGATGTAGGATGATGAAATGCATTCATGGCCATTTTCATAGCTCTCAAAATGCCTCGCATCAATTTTCTCTTTGCCTTCTGCTCTACATGGTCATGTGTTGTGCTTAAATCAGAAGAGAGTGTAATGGCTCAGGGGGAGTTGGGGAAATTGTTGCTGTGTAAAATCATAAAAATGATGTTCTTAAACCACAACATTCAATTGACCTTCAAATAGGGAGGTAGGGATGTAGCTTAGTGGTAGAGCACTTTGACTAGCAGGTTTAAGGCCCTGGGTTCAATTCCCAGCACAATAACAAGAGCAGCAAGCCAGTAGTGACCCTCATATAAGAATTTGGGGGAGTCAAATCACTTTTCTAACATGTGACCATAAGAATATGGAAAACATGTTTAGGCATGATAATTTGTGTCCTCACAGGATTTTTTTAAAATATATTTTATTTTATTTTTTTATGTGCATTTGTGGTCTTGCCATGGGTGTCAGGGTCCCCTGACAGGTGTGAGCTGTCATGTAGGTGCTGGGAATTGAACTCGGGTCCTCTGGAAGAAGAGTCAGCACTCTTAACCCCTGAGCCATCTCTCCAGCCCCTCACAGGATTTCTTGATACATCTCTAAAACTAAATTTCAAAGTGCTTTACCTACTTCATTTTATAACTTCCCTTTGAAATGGACAGTTCTTTGTAATTTTGAAAGTAGTGAAAAAACCACAGTGAAGTTAGGTGACTTACCTAACTCATGCAGGTAAAGTAGAGACAAAGTCATAAGAGCCTTTACTGCTGTTACATTTATTTGTTTGTTTATTTCATATGTGCGTGGGTATGCATGCCACAGAACACATGTGGAGGTGAGAGGTCAGTTCTCTACTCCACCATGTGGGATCCAGGGCTTGTACTCAAGTGGTCAAGCTTGGTTACAAGTGCCTTTACCCACTGAGCCATCTCGACCACCCAAGAGCCCTCACTTTTCCTCTGGTACTCTTAATACCATGCCATTGTGTGTCTCATTCATTATATTTGTACCATCTATGTAATTTGTGGCTGAGGAGCCCTAGACATAGAGGTTATATGACTCACCTAAATCATATGGTGAATCACCAGTCAAGCTGGTCTTATAGGCAGTAAAGCTGTTTCTAGCTAATTTTTGGCATGAATTAGCTAAATCGACTGC